TTCCCCGTTTGACTGCATAAAGTTTCAGTCTGATGATGTTACATTATCGTACTTTGTATTTATTTTTGTCTTTGTTTTCTTTTTTGGTTTGTAGTCAATAAAGTGGTTATTATTATTATTATTGCCACAGCGGAATCTCACCACCAATCTCTTCCCTTCATCATCTTCCTCCATCAACAGATACTTTGGCAGTTCCTCTGTCACTATCTCCTCATACCCTACATTATATCTTCCTTCCTGTATCTGTATGTCCCTGTCGCTATGTCATTGTAAAAATCACCCCTTAAAATCTATCGCATCAATTTAGCCCTCTATTGCATAATGTTCCCGAAAGGGAGCGGCGAAACTGATAGATAAATTATGAATATCTAGTATAGTTTTCCACCTTTCGTAAGTTTTTTGTCCGAGAGGTGGTGTTTGTGTTGGTGTGTTGCATTTTTACATAATTCGCGTCGAATCAATGGCCGCCAGATCATTTTCATTGATTTTAGAAGATCAAATCTTGTTTGTAGGGTAATTTTCTGGTAAGTATGTATTTTTTATACTTATTTTCAAGTGTTAGGAGTAGAATAATGCATAATTCGATATATTTCGTTCGTTCCTTTTTCTGCAGCAGGTCATAACTTGTTTGTTCCCATTTGGGAACATTATGCTCAAAAAGTTAAAGTGTGTAATTATTTCTTATTTCTACACACAGACGATCCACAATGGATTTTCCGGGCGATTTTCCAACAATTAGACCAAGCGCTTTTTATCGAAGAAAAAAAGTTCAAGTTGACGCAGTTCGAGACATTCCTTCAGATAGCGAGGATTCTGAGCTATCAGATGATGATGAAGGTAAATTTTATGCCAGTAAAAATAGTTTGGTTTTGATGTTCATATGCATATTTTTCTCTGCAGTGGAGGTACAGGTTCCTCACGAGTTAGATGATGCCGAGATTGAATCCCAGGATACTGAGGACCCAGACGACATACCTTTGACGCAGTTATTTGGTCTTCCCCCAAATACGAGATTTTTCTTTTCAAATGTTCAAAATGTTACTTGGAAATCTTCAAAAACTAATAGAAATCCACAGGATAATAAGTTTTTGGGAGAATGCGATCTTCCAGAATATATTTTAGAGTTACAAAGTCCATATAGTCTATTCAAATTCTTTATGTCTGATGATTTTATATCTACGGTGGTTGAGCAAACATATTTGTACAGCACGCAAAGAAGACTTGAGAAGACTTTGAGAACTGATGCTAAAGAAATTGTGCAGTTTTTGGGGATAGTTATATGGATGTCCTTGATAACGCAGCACTCAACGCGTAGGTACTGGTCGGCCAATACTAGAACACCACAAATAGCAGACATCATGCCTCTCAATAGATTTGAGGAGCTGAAACGTTTTCTGCATTTCTCAGATAATACCTTAGCCACTGGAAGCACAGATAAAATTATGCCAGTATTGAATCAAATAAAGAAATCCTGTCAAAAAATCCCTTTTGAGGAAAATTTATCCTGTGATGAACAAATTATTCCATTCAAGGGAAGAACATCTTTAAAGACGTATAATCCCAAAAAGTCACACAAATGTGGTTACAAAATGTATGTTTTATCAGGAGTTAGTGGGTTCAGTGCAAATTTTCAGCTTTGCAATAGTAAAGCTGACATAAATCTATTGCCAGGGGAACCAAATCTTGGAGCTGCCAGCAATATCATCGTCCGTTTATGTAGACCAATTCCGAGAGACAAAAATCAAAAGTTTACTATGACAGTTATTTTTCTGGAATAAATTTGTTATCCTATCTGGGAAAATTAAGCATACAAAGTGTGGCAACAATAAGATCTAATCGGCCGAAGGGCCTACAAATGGTTAGTGAAAAAGAAATGAAAAAAAAGGGACGAGGCTCACACATTGAGAACACTGCAAATGTTGCTGGAGTAGATGTTCATGTCGTGCAGTGGTATGATAATCGATTAGTTACATTAGTTTCTACATTCTCTAGTACATTTCNATAGCAGACATCATGCCTCTCAATAGATTTGAGGAGCTGAAACGTTTTCTGCATTTCTCAGATAATACCTTAGCCACTGGAAGCACAGATAAAATTATGCCAGTATTGAATCAAATAAAGAAATCCTGCCAAAAAATCCCTTTTGAGGAAAATTTATCCTGTGATGAACAAATTATTCCATTCAAGGGAAGAACATCTTTAAAGACGTATAATCCCAAAAAGCCACACAAATGGGGTTACAAAATGTATGTTTTATCAGGAGTTAGTGGGTTCAGTGCAAATTTTCAGCTTTGCAATAGTAAAGCTGACATAAATCTATTGCCAGGGGAACCAAATCTTGGAGCTGCCAGCAATATCATCGTCCGTTTATGTAGACCAATTCCGAGAGACAAAAATCAAAAGTTTACTATGACAGTTATTTTTCTGGAATAAATTTGTTATCCTATCTGGGAAAATTAAGCATACAAAGTGTGGCAACAATAAGATCTAATCGGCCGAAGGGCCTACAAATGGTTAGTGAAAAAGAAATGAAAAAAAAGGGACGAGGCTCACACATTGAGTACACTGCAAATGTTGCTGGAGTAGATGTTCATGTCGTACAGTGGTATGATAATCGATTAGTTACATTAGTTTCTACATTCTCTGGTACATTTCCTCTTACCAAAGTACAGCGTTTTTTCAAGTCGGAGAACTGCAAGAAAGAAATTGATCGTCCCGACATTGTTTCAATCTACAACATGCACATGGGAGGAGTAGATTTACAGGATTCTCTCTTAGGATTGTATTCCATAAAATTGAAGAGCCGCAAATGGTATATGCGCATATTTTGCCACATGCTTGACGTTGTGGTAGTAAATTCATGGTTACTTTCAAGAAGAATCAATAAACAACTAAACAAGAATGAGAAGGTTTCTCTATTGGAATTCAAAACAATACTAGCACAAGATCTATGTCTAGTGGGAAAAATAAACGCAAAAAGAAAGGCCGACCTAACAGTAGTGGCGCCAATACGCCCATCGACTCGCCCATTCAATTCACACCCAAAAGAAGATGTTTGGAACCACGCCCAACAAGAAACATTATATTGGATAATATTGGACATTGGCCTTTACAGACAGAAAACCGAGAAAGATGCAAAAAACCTAACTGCAAGGGTAAATCCAGAACAATGTGCGAAAAATGTGGAATACATTTGTGTTTAAATAAAGTAAATAATTGCTTCAAGTCATTTCACACCATGTAAAAAAAAATGTACTTTGAGCCCACAATGTGCCCATTTGGGAACAAAATTTTTTTTCTCTACAAATACAAATTTTGAAAAAAAAACTCATAGGTGTCTTATTTCTATGCACATTAATCACAAAAAATGCAAAAAAAAATTTTTTCAAACTATAAAATAAATTATGCAATAGAGGGTATACACTCTGTATATTGTCAATTGCCCCTCTTCCTTTCCTGAATCCCGCCTGCCCCTCCTTCAAAAACTCCCCCATTTCCTCTTCCAATCTCCCCAGCAGTGCCTTTGCATATATCTTGAATGTAGTGTCCAATAGGGTGATCCCTCTATAATTGCCCACCACCCTTTTACTTCCCTTTTTATACAGTGGACATATTATCCTTTTTTTCCTGTCCCGGAAAGATTTATCAAGATATATCAGATATATCAAGATTTATAAAAAGTTCTCTTTCGTCTCAGTTTATTTTTTACTTATAACCTAATTTTATGTCGAAAATGTCAAATTCATGATTGACTCAAATATAACATGATTTATTTTTTATTTAAACTTACTAATTTTGGTTTAGTTTGATCTTCACTATCTCCATGTCCTAATCGCCCATAACGACCTTTACCCCAAGTAAATAACTGCCCTGAACTGGTGATAGCGGCAGAATGCGCACCGCCGCATGCGATGTCTACAATTTCATAACCTTGAAGTGCTTCAATAACTTTCGGCCGATCATAATCTCTAAAATATGCAATAAAATGTTTATTTTTGTCCATTTTATTAAATTATTTATTACTTTTTATTGCCATGTCCTAATTTGCCATCGTCGCCTTCTCCCCAAGAATACACGTCGTTGTCGGCCGATAAAGCCAAGCAATGTTTACCGCCAGAGTTTACGGCAACTTTTTTAATGAACACGTGTTGTATCGATTCGATTAATGTTGGCACTAAAACTGAATCGGTTCCACCTAAACCTAATCTTCCACCAGCGCCAAAGCCTATAAATAAATTAAAAAAATTAAATTGTCTTATAAATAGTTAATTAATTACCTGTTGTATAAACTTTTCCATCGGCAGTAACAGCAATTAGAGTTTGTTCTCCCCCTAAAATTTGAACCGGTCTCAAACTCGATAACGCTTCACACGGCGTGGGGCATTTCACTTTCGCTCCTTCAATACCGCCTAATTGACCTCGATGATTATGGCCCCAACCATAAATGGTCCCTGAACCGCCCCAAGATAACGTCCAATCTTCTGGTTTTCTAAAAAATCAAATTTTTTTTTTTAATTGTCACTGTTAAATTCTTTATAAAAAGGAAAAAACACATTCCACCCAACTTCAAAAAGAAATCGAATAAATCTTGGTGAATCTTAATTCGGAACAAAAGTACAGAGAAGCATCAAAGCTGCTTACTGAAACGAATTTGTCCTTCGTTTATAAAAATAAGCAAACCAGAAATGTGCAAGTGATAACTAAAAAGATGCATAAAAGCTGTGATGTTAATGATATCAAAGATGTGCAATTATAATATTTATAAAGTAACCCAAATGTTAAAATACAAAAAAAAGCCTCTTCTTTTATACATCTTGGATTTTGCATTGTCAAAAGATGTAAAAAAATCCATGAAATAACAAACATATTAGGAATGCGTGTCTAAATCAAAGAGTACAGAAAGTCAAAACAAATGCCCCAGTGCAAAAGCCACACCAAAGCTTACTGCCACAAAAATCTGTGATGCGCTGATGAACACTGGACCAGCGAATGCACTAAAGTCAAAGACATCCCGGCTAAATGTTTCAACTGTGGAGAAAATCATCCAGCGAATTACAGAGAATACACTGTGATTAAGGAAATACAAGCCATTAAGAATAAGAAAACAGTAAATTCAAATCAAAGAAAGCCAGGCGTCTCGTATGCCGAAAAAGGGGGTGGTGAAACTGCAGAGAACACTGTAAGAGCATTAGTCTATAAAAAGGCTGATAGTAAATTAGATCTAATACTAGAAAAAATACTTCAACAAGAAGAAACAATAAAAACATTATATGCACGTCTAGATTTCATTGAAAGCAACTTAAACTAAGAAGCGATTCAAAAAAGAAATTAAAATGTCTAAAAAGCAGCAACTAAAAATAATGCTGTGGAATTCCAATGGTCTTCGACAGCATTAAAATACATTACCAATAATACTTAAAAAAAACAATTTTGATACACGAGAATCGTATATAAACATCAACCATTACAATATTTATCACACAATTCATCCTAGTAATGCGGCTGGCGGTGGAAGTGCAATTATCATTAAAAGTAGTATTGACCACTATTTGAATCAAACTACAGTGACAAAAGTTCAAACCGTTAATGGTTTAATATCTGTAGCAGCAACGTACATACCGCCGAGACATAATCTCAGAAGAGAAGATTATCAGGAAATTCTACTGCATCTTGAAAACAAATTTATACTTGGAGGAGACTTTAATGCAAAACCTATGTCATGAGGTTCTCGCTTGATAAATATAAAAGGAAGAGAACTGAAACATGTAATAGAAACCCTAAATTCTGAGGTGCTCTCCATTGGTAAGCCAACTTATTGGTGAACAGATAGAAATAAAATTCCTGGATTCCTGGACCTGGATGGTCTTAGGGAAACTGGCTCCCTTAAACCTAAGAAGAGGACTGTAGTTGATTTTTTTATTACGAAAAATATATCACCTAACTTTGTAAACATAGAAGAAGAGTTAGGGCTGATCAGATCACTCACCAGTAATTATTACTCTAAATAACAAAGTATGTAACAAAGAACTCTTTTTATTACTAACTGGAATCTATTTCAACAAGTATTAGATAATAAAATTCATCTTAATGCTCTTATGGAAACAAACGGAGACATTGGCAAGAAAAATTCTTAAAAGACATACAAAACTCAACCTGGGCCTCAGCACCTATTTTAACACCAAAACCTAAATCTAACATTTATTCTAAATTCATTAGAGACAAAATTGTAGGAAAACGGAAAGCAAGAAAGAAATGGCAAACGAATAGAATTCCTAGTGATAAAACTGAATTAAATAAAATAACAGCCGAATTAAGAGCATTAACAGATAGCAATAAACAAAGTAATATTAAAAATCACTAATAAGATCTTACTGACGATGCCAGTATTGATTATTTTCTGTGGAAGCCAACAAAAAAGCTTACAATTTCAAAAACACATACACCTCTAATTCGAAATAGTAATGGAAATTGGGCTAAGAGCAATCAAGACAAAGTTAATTTGTTTGCTGAACATCTGTAAGAAACTTTTACGACAGTCCAACAACGATGTTAAATAGTGTTCCTAGCATTATTCAATTCATAATTCATAGTTCAAAATGGTTAGGTTGTGTTGTCCTCGTATTTTGAATGTTCTCTGTGATATTTTCAACTTTTGTCTGATAATGTCGGTTTATCCTAAGGCATGGAAATGTGGTCTGGTGACTCCTGTTCCTAAAATATACTACCAGATAAACAATCTGGTTTTAGGAGTCAGTATAGCTGTGCCACAGCGCTTCTTGATTTGACTGATGATATATATAGAGCTCTTGATGCTGATAGATCTACTGTGCTTGTGTTGCTTGACTTTAGTAAGGCATTTGATATCTTGAATCACGACCTTTT